AGTTAATATCACCCCAGCTAAAATCTCCCTTCAAAAAATGAACAACCAATAAAACACTGGATAACTCTCACCAATCAAATTAGGTAGATACATATATATATATATCAATTTACTATCGAGAAAAAAACACAATAAGTAAGGTTTTATTATATTATCTTTATTCACAGTAGTTTTACAACATTGAAAAAAGAATTGAGAGAATTTGTAGCCAAAATTTTTAACATGACATATGCGAAAGAAAAGAAATAATTGTAATAGTTATTTATTAATGATTCACATATTATAAACTACACTATTTTTTATACGAAAAGTGAAAATAGAATTCTAAATGCCAAACTTTTTAATTTTTTTAAAATTATTAATGTTATTTAAACATTTTTTTGCAATATCTAACCTTTTAAGTTCTCTTTCATTGACCATTGTCTCGAAATCATTTACCCTGCAAAGTTTTGAATAGTTATCTTCATTTTCCTTTTCTTTAATAAGTTCAAAAAGCCTTGAATAATATTCTTTAGTTTTAATTTGTTCATGGAAAAACCAAGATTCATATTCCGTAATAATATTATCATAAATTCTGTCTTTATTCTTGAAAACAATCTCTTGTTCCGAAGGCCTGACCTTGATGCTTTGATCTTCTAATTCAATAGGATAGAATCCAAATGTTTGCCGCAAGGAATTAATATTTTTTATACATTCTTCTGCAATACTTCTCCTTTTAAGTTCTCTTTCTTGTACCAACTTCACGATGTCGTCTATCAAACTAAATTTTTTTTCATCATTTTCATTTTTTCTATCATCGAATAATTGATAGAGTCTCTTATAATGTTCATTGTCATTACTCTCATCATTAAGAAGCCATGTTTTATATACCTCAATCATACCATCATAAAATTCGCTCTTTAAAATCAAAACAGAAACGACTTCTCTTTCCGAATCTCCAATTACGAAATTGTTCTTAGACATGACTACTGAATTAAAATTTTAAATAGTCACAAACACATTCTTTATATATAAAACTATACAAACTGACTATCAGTTTGTATGAATTTGACAGTCAGTTTGTACGAATAATCTCAAATCATGTTTACTTTCCATATTAGCCGGTTCCTAATCAAGTAAAATCAGCTCACTAATTAAGTTAGATAAGCAATACATATAAAAATTCGGTTAACTAATTTTTAATATAATATTTATTAACATTAATGTAAACCTGTTGATCTATAACATATTCTTAAATAAATAGCATTAACTGCATAATGCATATATTACAGAGTTTAATAGCCAGTTTAACTAGCTAGTAGTATATTAAAAAATGTGGTACAATATAAATTCTGACCACCTGGTCATTCTTTTTATAATTGATCGTTCAAAAGATTTTGACAAAATGAACAATAGAGTTAAACACGTAATATTCGATAAGTATATTTCCTAAAATCATGACCTGTTTTTTTCTCTATATAAAAAATTGTTAGCTTTCAGTTTATTCAGATACTATACCTTATATTAACGTATCTTTACATATTTTTAAACTTGTTTTATATTTATAATAATTAAAACAAGTTATTTTTTTACTTTGAATTAACAAGTTTTGCAGAAAGTTATTTGAACTATTGCTATGTTATTCATTACTCTTTGAAAATTTTTAGGACAAGACAAAAGCCATCTATTATATAAAAAAAATATAAAATCAGATAAATTGGAATCATTCCTCCTTGGCAAGAAAGAATGATCAAAACACCCTTTACTTTTTTAATTATAATTAAAAAGTTGTAATTTCTAACAATTATCACTCGTTACAATCCAAAAATCTTTGCTTTAATACCAAGTATCTTGAGAGCATACAATTTCAATCAAATTTTGAATTTTCATCTGAAGAAATCTTTCAATATCTCGTGAATTTAAGCTCAGGTTAAATATTAATTAATTTATTTATTTTTGTTTGAAAACAAAACGCGCTCGACTACTATAGTAAGAAAAATAATAAAGAAAGTGAATAATGAATTTTTTAAGTTTATTCGCATACTTCCGGCTCAAATCATTGTTATAACACTTTTTAAAAGTCAAAGCTAAGTTATTTTTTTACCTTTTGAAATTTATACATTCACCACTATGTGTTCTATTACCTGCTCCTTTAGGAATGCCAACCGTGGATTTAAATATGTTTTCTCTTGACAACATACAAGAATCTCAAGCAATTCACAACAATCCCATAGAAGAATTGGACGTTCCTAAAATTTTTTAATACAGCAAAGAAAAGTATGAAAGTCAAAAAATGGTATGTGGCCGGTGGAAAAAGGCATCTACTGATCACAGCATAGATGCCGAGTTTAAGCGTCTAATACACATTCAATCAAAGCAAAAATGACGTGCAGAAATCAAAGTTGCTCTTGAGGAACTCTGTATGCAGCTCTTTAATAAAAGTCGCAAGATGAGTAAATCAGTTTTACTCAAGGAAGATGATTACTAATTCTGAATTAATATTTTTAAAAATGACTCTCTAACAATATTTTGTGTAAAGTTGTCTTGCATATTAAGAATCAGTCAAGTAAAGAGTCTTTTCTTCTCGATGAAATAAATCATCTGAATCAAACTTTTATCTATTTGCATGCAGAATTGGAAAATGAGAAAAGGTAAAATATTATTTTGCCAACTAGAAAGCGTCATTAATATCTAGCACTTAAGAAGGAAAAATATTAGTAGATGTACTTTTCAAGAATACTATCCTAACTTCTTTTAATCTTAGTTATAATAATATGCTTATATTATAATAAAGATTTACACAACCAATTTTACTAAAACTCCTGAATCAAAACTTAACTACAGATATCTAGTTAAAACTTTAACAGACAAAAGACAAATTTCTAGCTGACCTTATCTATAAAGTAATGAGTCAATTTGATTAGTCAATATAAGGTCACTTGAAGTTTAACTTTTAGAACTCTTGAAAAGTGGAAATAAAATGAAATGAACATATAAAATGAAAAAATATGAGTAAATTGAAGTGATTGGTGAGAGTTATCCAGTGTTTTATTGGTTGTTCATTTTTTGAAGGGAGATTTTAGCTGGGGTGATATTAACT